GAGCCCTCCCCCCCTCTGCCCCAGCCTCTCCTCTCTGGCCACAGACCACCAGCTGGAGGCCTTCCTGGAGAAAACTCTGGCTGAGACGTCACCGGCGTCTGACCCGAGGACCAGAGGCCTGATGGAGGAGCTGCAGGCCCAGCTGATGGAGCACCAGGCCTTCTCCCCCATGGACACTTCAGACCTCTCCTTCTGTGACTCCTCCTCCCCCTCCTCGCTCCACTTGGGCCTCTCTGATGCGGGCCTGGACAACATGGAGTGGCTGGACCTCACCCAAATAACTCCTGGGTCTGCCGGGGCGCTCACTCCTCTGGGGATCCCCTCGGACTTCCTGGACCCTCAAGACCTGCAGCTGCACTGGGAGTAACGGGGGAGAAAAGGGAGGCAACAGCTGAGCCGGGAGATAAAAGCTGGATGGACAAAAAGAGGCGGTAAAAGATTGAGATTCCAGGTTTTAGACAAGAAGGGACAACATGGCGTTCCCGTGCCATTCCACTTTCAACACTACATCATAATACTACTACTAATAAGACTTCCTGGACCCTCAAGACGGGGGGGAGGAAGACAGGGGTGAGGAAGACAGGGAGGTAACAGCTGAGCCAGGAGATAAAGCTGGATGGACGAAAAGAGGCGGAAAAAGGTTTAGATTTTAGACAAGAAGGGACAACATGGCGTTCCCGTGCCATTCCACTTTCGCCACTACATCCATTCATACACGTGTAATATTCCCACTATCCTGTATCGTATGAGCTGCTGATTGAAAACTACACTGGGAGTGACGGGGGAGAGGAAGACAGGGAGGTAACACCTGAGCCAGGAGATAAAGCTGGATGGACGAAGAGAGGAAGATATGTTCAGCAGCTCATACTGCAGGAAGAATAGCCAAATGCTCATGCTAGTGCTAATGGGGATCCTAATAAAGAACAAACAGCCGGTAACAGGTTGAGATTCCAGATTTTCGACGAGAAGGGACAACATGGCGTTCTCGTGACATTCCACTTTCACATCCATAATATTCCCACTATCCTGCAGGATGAGCTGCTGGACAGGCACTGATTGAAAACTAGCAGCAGTTTGCACAAAAAGGGTCTAAATTACGACATCACTGAAGTCACCATAAGACTTTAAGACTTTTAGTGTCTGATGAGACGAGGAGGCGGAGCCAAATGATCACTGGGAGCATGGACTGTAAATACTCTTTGAACCACACGAATACAACTTAAAGGATATTATCGTGTTGCTCTACTGGAGGTTCGGCTGGTTGGCCTTCAGTGTGACACTTCATTTGACTGGAGGTGAGAGTGGTGTTTCCACTGAAGCTAGGTTATAAAGCCGGTGATTACAACACAGTAGAAGTGTTGCTCTACGCGACGTCTGGCAGATTAAACCTTTATACAAATATTGGAAAGAGCTCATATAGGCCTGCCACGATAACTACTTCTGTTGGATGATTTTACTCTCCAGGAAATAATTGAAATAAACAATATTTCCGTCATTTTAAGACCATGTCATGCCATAAGGTGTAATGACGACAGGGTTTCCCCACACATAGACTTTACTTGGGCGGGCCGCCCGGGTATATTAACGTCCGCCAAAGTATATTTCGCGACCCATTTAGGTTTCATCTTTTTTTTTTATCCGTCCGCGAGCACGGCGCCATCTGCGATCGATTAACTACCCCTGCTGTACCTGTTCGCTCTGCTATCACATGAAGGGTCTACTTTATGCGCTCTCCAAAGATTTTTTTTAACGCTGCTGTGTAGACGGCCAGTAACTCCGCTGCGAGGCTCCGGCAAACAGGCCCCCCCCTTTCTCGGCTAGCACCACAAGCATATTTCAGATCTGTGGGAAACACTGGACGATATGATAATAATAATAATCATAATGAAACAAAAATTAGTAAGGCCATGTCAATATATTGTACTACAGGTCAGCAACATACAAATAATCCAAAGTCACGTTCATATTTCTTATGATGTATGGATAACGGGAAAATCATGCTGATCACTCTAAATGATAACTTGAAAAATAGTCTAAATAATGTCTCCATATATCATACGATAAATCAATAACCAAAAAATGATCGAGGCCATTTCGTACTACAGGTCGATAGCGTAAAAATGATCCACGTCTATTGTGAATAGTGGATAGCCTATAGAGTGCCCATACAGCAAAAAATAAATCCGTACCTTACGAATGATAACGGTCATATCCACACATCGTACGATAAATTGGTTAGATTGTTATCGTGACAGGCCTACGCTTATATTCTCAATGATAATCATGAGTACTAGTTGCCCTGGGACATCAGTGCAGCCTGGTTCATTAACCACTTCCCCTGAAGGAGCTTGGACTAAACCGGTCTGAATCTGAGGAGCTGGACCTTTTTAAAGAGATTCTCTCTCTTCTCTGCTCACACTGGTCCAACAAACTGTGCTGACTCATCTGATGTGTGTATCAGATGCGACTGTTTCCTCCTGCGGTTTCTCCTGATGATGAACCAATGACTCTAAAGACTGACGACGAGGAGCAGGATCCTCAAACTACGTGAGAGCTATGCACTTAAAGAGGCGGAGGGATATCTGACGGCGCCTCGTCACCTCAGAGCACGGACGCCTGATCTCTGAAGATCACGCAGCCGGAGATACTGCAGTTGGTGTCCAAGTATCTAACTTTGAATGTAATTTAAAACAAAATGGGACTACACTCACAAAGTTGGCAGCTTTTTTACTCGTGAACTGACAGAAACGGTGGAAAGGGAACAAATATCAGTTTATGAGAGTCGGCTGCAGTTGAACTGTCTTTTATTTGCCAACTTAGTGAAATAACATGGAAGTATTGAGTCCAAATTCAAAGAAAAGGAGCTTTAATGCTTCCTTTTTCATCCCTTTTAGCTTAGGGTACAATGGACCATCCCAAACAAGAAGAGAGGATGTAAAGCCGTCCCACAATTCCTTGCAGCGGCAATATTTAAAGCGACGGCAAGAGCATGCATCGCCTAATTACGTAGCCTAAAATAAGAGCGGTTGAACTCTCTCCAGCATCTTTCCCTGTAATTTTCTTGCTTTCTATCGAGGAAAAGTGGTTAGAAAAATACTTATAGGACTATTCGACAGCAGCCATGGAGAGAAACTTCCAGAAGAAGTGAAAACTGCGAGGAATAGAAATGTCTTTAGGGGAGGTGTGTGTGTGTGTGTGTGTGTGTGTGTGTGTGTGTGTGTGTGTGTG